GTCTTGAGTCTCCTTACATGGCAGTAAATAGAGATACTCTTTCTCCTGTTACCTGGTGCCAAGCAGGCCACCGAGTGGACATGCTCTTGCTTATTCAATCATTGCCCCATTGCTGGACATTTAGGTGGGGTGTTTTTTTCTTTTTTCCTTTCAATGAACATAATTACCACGAGCATCTTTATACATGACTTTCTTGGGTTCTGAACAAGAGTTTCTTTTACTGAGAAGTGGAACTACAGAGAAAATAGTGTGTAAAAGATTTCCACTACAATAATAGCAAATTGTCCTCATAGTAGCTATAAAAGCTCACTTTCCCGCCAGTGGTATAGAACAATATTCATTTCTTCAGACTTTCTCCATTATTTGATATCATAGATTTTAACTTTTCCCGTGTTCTAGTCAAATCATTTTCTCTTATATTTCTCTAGTTTTTAGTGAGATTGAACTCCCTTTTACCTACTTGTTACTCATCTGCGTTTTCTCTTCTAAGAATTGTCTCACGGGTTTCAATATTGGGTAGGACAAGCAACTGCCCTTCCCCCACCCTTTTTTCTTTTTTTTTTTTTTTTTTTTTGAGACGGAGTCTCACCCTGTCACCAGGCTGGAGTGCAGTGCCTCCATCTCAGCTCACTGCAACCCCTACCTCCCAGGTTCAAGCTATTCTCCTGCCTCAGCCTCCCAAGTAGCTGAGACTACAGGAGCATGCCACCAGGCCCAGCTAATTTTTGTATTTTTTTTTAGTAGAGACAGGGTTTCACCATGTTGGCCAAGGTGGTCTTGATCTCTTGACCTCATGATCCACCTGCCTCAGCCTCCCTAAGTGCTGGGATTACGGGCGTGAGCCACTGCACCCAGCCCCTTCCCTTTTCTATAAAACCTAATTTTTTTTATAATTGTCCAAACTATTCTCTGTATTTACTCTTCTGAAAGAATCTTAGAATCATGTGCTCAAATTCCATCAAAAATCCTATTGAAATTTTTATTGAAATTGCTTTGAATTAAAAAAGTTAATTGAGAAATGACATATTTAAAATAGGAGTGTTCCTTTCCACCACCATTGTCCTTCCCTCCAATTTTTGGCTTGTGTTTTTATGTTCCTCAGGAAATTTGCATCATTTTCTTCATAAAGGCATATGTTTTACCAGGCTTATTCCTGGGCATTTTATAGCGATTATTGATATTATCAATGGTTCTTTATTTCACAAATATTTTTCATTGGTTATTGCCAGTGTCAGGCTGCGGGTTTTATATGCTGATTATATTAACTAGCCAGCTTGCTGAGTTCTTTTATTAGTTCTAATAGTTGGTCAGTGCGTTCACGTGGGTTTTCTGTGAACACAGCAATATCTGTTCTTTGGGTGATTAGGTAGAATTCACCTGGGGGTAGATTCTCAATGAGCATTTCAGTTTTGTTCATGGCAATAAGTCTGCTCATGATTTTTAAAGCTTGGCCAAATGTAGATAATTTATGCTTTATCCCCAAAGGCGTGTTTTCTCTAAGTTCTCAAATTGTTTACAATGCTACACATAATAGTCACCAAAAGTGTTTAAAATGCTCCTGTATCTTTCAGGTTATAATGATACTTTGTGACTTATTTCTTGATCAGGAGTGCCAAAAGTTGATTTCTGTCAGTAAGCTTTTAAACCAGAGTTAGACTCTGTTGGATGGCTTCACGGTTTAATTTGTATTTCATTCTTTTGCCTTTATCATTTCAAGTTCTGTCATTGATTCAACACATACTTGCTGAGAAGTTGCTCTGTGCCAGGCACAACTCTAGGTGCTAGAGATGACTGACAACCTGAGGCAGTCAGATGCAGCCTCGTTGCTATGGGAACTACAGTTTTTATGAGGGGCAGACTTTCAACAAGCAAGGAGGAAGAGACAGAGGAAAGTGGCGAGGTCATTGGTGTTCGTGGCAAGAACTGATTCAGTTGGAGTGGTGAGGACTACAGTCTTGTTGGAGTACAATCTGTAAAGGAGGGAGAGAGGTAGGGGAGAGAGAGGAGGATTATACACAATTATTTTTAGGAGTTGTGCTATAAGGGAAGACAGAAAATTGAGGGAGTCACAGGAGGGAGGGTTAAGGGACAGTTTTGTTTTTCCTGAGATGGGAGCTGTGACAGCATGTTTGCAAACCTCCAACCAGGAAGGGCTAGTAGATGACGGAAACTATTTGTGCAGCAGTCACCTGTCTCTTTTTTTTCCACCAATCACATCCGTGAAGAAGCTTGAGAGATGGATGGGCTTTGCAGAGGGGCATGAATAGATCCAGTGGACAAGGGAAAAGACCATGTATAGGGCACAGGTGCAGGTTTATGTTCTTATTTTTCCAGCTTCTTGATTTGAAAACTTAGCCAAATATTTGCAACCTTTGTTTTTTCTGATGAAGTTATCTAAGGTTATACTGCACAAATTTGAATCTGGGCTATTATCAAATCTCAAGGATTGATGAAAGGTGTTTTTTTTAACTTTTAATTTTCACTTTTTGTATCTTTTTGCTATGAATTTCTAATTGTATCCTACCGTAAAAGAAGAATGTGTACTCGATACTATAGGTTCTTTGGAATGTGTTGCAGTTCCCTGTGTTTAAAAATAATTTATATTCTGTGTTATTTATATCTGAAGAGTTTTAGGTCCATGTTTTTAATAGATCATGCTTTCAGAAATCCCTTTTGTTATTTCTTTAGTTTGCATACTATGATTATGTGCATAAAGAATCATGTTTTATCTTGTTAGTGGATTATAACATTTTCAGTATGAACTATTTTATTACATTTTGATATTTTACTCTGAATATTTGTATATTACTACTAAACTTGAACCTGTTTCTTTTATTGTTAGCATATTTTTGGTATTTTTTCCTCCTCCTATGTCATTCTGTTTTAGGAATGTCTGTGGCAAACAGCATAACGTTTGTAAACCCAATTTAAGAGTCTTTGCCTTTTAATATGTGAATCTAACAACCTCACAGTTATTGCAATTGGTAATAATTTTAGGCTTATACTGGCAGTCCGTGTGTGTTTAGAGGGGTGTTTAATTTCTCATGCTATCCAGGTTGATCAGGTTTTAAATACTTTTTCAATAATTATTGCTAAATTTGAAAATATAATTTTCTATAAATGTCTACAGAGATTAAGGATCTATTTTTCTCTGGACACCAACATACTTTCGACTCCCTTTTTTTCCTCAAAAGTTTACTCTATTGTTTCATCTTGAGTATTCCCACTGAGAAACTGGTTTTATTCTCATTCTAAGTAATTTGTTTCTAGAGAAGCTTTTAGGATTGGTCTGTATCTTTAATGATAGGAAGTTTTTTACTCATGTTTGTGTGGGCCCATTCATGGAAAAGAATTGGATTTGTCTTTTCAGTCCCCAAAATATTTTCTCTCTTTGGATCTTTTGTGTCATATTTCTTGCTCCTCTGGTAGATACATTTGGCTTAATCTTGTAGTCAGCCATCTGTTCTTCAGGGTGTTTTGTGATGTTGGTTATGCACTTTTCTTTGAGACTCAGTTAATCTGCAATCTCCAAGGAGGAAATTGTTGGTTTTCTGATGAGAGCTATCTCTGGTAGAATATATTTATGTTGATGGGCAAAATCCATTAAGAGGCCAATTGCTGGAGCAACATTCTCACATAGGCAAGAAAGTGTCTAGTATTAAAGAGGGAAGGTAAAGCAGATACAGATATAGATGAAACTAATTAGCAAAACAGTCAGCAAGATTGAATCTTTTTCTGAAGCCAGGTGTAGTTCTAAATGAGGGTGGGAAGGGCAGATTGTAGGTGTCCCAGTGTGGATAGTGGTTAAGGCATTGAGGAAACATCTTTGCACAATAGCAAGCCCTGTTCCCTCCTACAGATGAAGAAAATGAACCTAACTGTGGAATAGTAGGTAGATGGGCATTGGGCATGTATAGAAAAGTAGCCAATTGTGTTGCAGTCTCAGAGGCATTCATGGATCATTCAACATGTGGAAGCAACAGGTTAAAAAAAAGGGGGAGTTCTTTCCCCTTCTTTATAATGTCCCATAAAGCAGAAGAACTTTTCTTCATTGCATGATATTACTTCACCACAGTGATAGAAGAACAGAACAAATGTATTGCGAGAAAGGCATGAAGATAAAACCTTTGGAGAAACTGAGAATGTATTTAAGTTTGAATCTGTTAAACTGAATGAAATATTATGAAAAGTTACGTATAGGGGTTCTAAACCTGGAGTTAAATATTTAGCTAATCTGTTGGTTCTGAAAGAATCTGAGATTTTGATCCCGAATTCGCTCCTCCAAAGTGTCTGTGGTGTTTTGTGGTAAAGGATTATTTTATAGTGGCATTGTCATGTAACCACATTGGGCAGTGTGAGGAGGAGGCACCACCAAGCTTGCTTAAGTTGGACTGGCTATACTGGTTGATCAGAAGGTCAGAGCAACTCTACAGCCTTGGTTCTAACATAAGTTGGGCTCTGAGAAGTGTGGGACCTTATAAATGACTAGCATTAATCTTATCCAAAACTCTGTTCCTGTATACTGGGCACACATTGTGCAAAGCACTACCAGGAAGGCTCCAAGAAGTTCACTGCCTCTTTTGCCACTGGTATGACATAGTTTCAGTTTTTCCTTGAGGGAAGGAGGAGAGAAAACACCACTTAGAGGATCATCCAATGCAACTTGGAGTAATGTTTAGGCTCTGGGAGAAGGAAATTAGGCTTTGAAAAGTCTAACCTCTTAAACCTTGGAAACAAACTGACTCTTGTGTTTTGTACATATAGCAATTCAGTGTTTCCAAGGTGAGTTGTATGAGCTGCATGGCATCATAGCCATTGTTTTCCGAGTGAAGCTTGGTATTCATAAGTGAAGAACTTCATGGAGAAAGGTAGCATTAGTAGTAAAACAGTCTCCAAAATTTACTCACAAAATATGGTAGTTGCTATCACCCAGCAGAGGGCTCTGTAATTCACGGATGGTGGACGGTAAATGACTGTCTCGCTGCCTCTTATTCCAACAGGTCCTTTGTCATCCAGCAAATCCCAAGCAGCAACCTGTTCATGGTGGTGGTGGACAGCAGCTGCCTCTGCGAATCTGTGGCCCCCATCACCATGGCGCCCATTGAAATTAGGTATATCCTTTTGTGTGCTGATCCAGTCACTACCGCTGAAACCAGGAAGGGGGAATCAAGGGTAAGGAAACCTAGGGGAGAAATATTAGAGAAGGAAAATTACATCCTTTCCACTGTTGGAGAGAGTTGTCATTGCCAAGTTTTGAGCTCTGAACTGCAGAGTAGAAAAAGCAATCCTTGGAAACATGCCTTAACTACAGTCAACATAATGAATCCCTTAAGTGTGAACGTCTAAAGGCCCAGAAGATCAGAAGGCGCCCAGAATCTTGTCATGGCTTCCACCCTGAGGTAAGTCTGAGGTGTTCCCGTTCCCTTTTCCTATCAGAATCACCATGAGAGTCTCACGCTGGTCAACGAACTACAGCTGAAGAATTTACTGAAAGGGATTAATTTCCTCACAAGTAAACTGAACCCGCACATTGTCTGGGTCCCAAGACTTTGTTCTTACATTAGAGAGGGGAGAGCGGTCTGGGAAATCCACATGGTTGAAGGGGTCCTTGAGTCCATTTCCATCTAACCGACCTCTGCCTTTCCCCGTAGGAGAATGCAAGGGAGTGTGGGGCGGCGCCAGGTCTCCAGGCCCTGACAGTCCTCCTCCTGCTCCCCCTGCTTTTGATGCTCTTCTCAAGGTGACACTGACTGAGATGTTCTCTTGGCATGCTAAATCATGGATAAACTGTGAACCAAAATATGGTGCAACATACGAGACATGAATATAGTCCAACCATCAGCATCTTATCATGATTTTAAACTGTGCGTGATATAAACTCTAAAAGATATGTTGACAAAAAGTTATCTTTTTACTTTGCCAGTCATGCAAATGTGAGTTTGCCACATGATAATCACCCTTCATCAGAAATGGGACCGCAAGTGGTAGGCAGTGTCCCTTCTGCTTGAAACCTATTGAAACCAATTTAAAACTGTGTACTTTTTAAATAAAGTATATTAAAATCATAATCTTCTTGTTTGGATTTTATCATTATTATTGCTAAGAATACCAACTGAAAACAATGCATGGGGAAAAGGTCCCCATTCCAGAAATCAGGGAAGGATGGCTGTGGGCAGAGCCTTTGTTCTAAAGCAGATTCTAGGCACATATTTAACAATTGTTTAGATGCTCCACTCTCAGTTATAAAAATATTTATAGAAGTAAATCAAAATATCATCTACATGGTAAGAGTTTATTACATAGAACCCTGAATTTTGTTGAACTAAACTTCAATGGAAATCATAATTTGGATTCAAACACAAGCTTTTCATCATATCCAAGTGTGGAATTATTTGGGAATGGAAATAAAGAAGTCATAAATCCTAGGCCTTCATTCTGAGGAGACTTGAAGGAGGAAAAGGACAATGATTACAAATTTGGCTTCTGGGTTTCCCCATAAACAAGATATGAAATTAGATCTCAAATATTATAAGAGATGAAACTACCCAGACATGTAAGCATTTCTAAACACTGCATCTTGAACCAAAGAAAACAGATTTCATTGGATCATGGCTACTAAATACAGTGGAATAATTTCCATGCCTAGGTAGGTAGGAAAGACATCTAAAGTTGTTATCCAGAGAATTCTACCGAAACTCTTAAAAAGGGGCACATTATCCTCTTGATATTTTAGAAAAACTGATGTTACTATACTGCTTTATACTAAAACGATTCCACTACATTGTTATAATTTTTAATATTACTATGCCTCCAATGCTGTTCTCAAAATCACAGTACTATCACAGGCAAGCTTGTCAAAGATTCAACAGCCATGGGGTTATAGAATTGTGACAATTGATGTAATTCATTCTGCGCACTTGGTAAATGAATAAATTCATTTGTTGCTCATACAAATATAAAGATGTATTATATTTACACTGATATATTGATATCAGATAAGGAGCCACAATTTATTAAGCTGGAATGATAAGACTCTAAACTCATAGAGTCACAAGTATAAAAACATTCTATTTATACCTAAGGTGATGGCCAGAGGAACACTGAGCTTAATACTGAGAAAGATGAACTTATCACAGATCTAGGTGATTTATAGGAAAAATTAGGTGATTTATAAAAGAGAGCAAGTTAAGTGATTTATGAGAGGCCAGACATGGCTTACGCTTGTAATCCCAGCACTTTGAGAGGCCAAGGCAGGTGGATCACGAGGTCTGGAGTTCAAGACCAGCCTAGCCAACATGGTGAAACCCTGTCTCTACTAAAAATACAAAAAAATTAGCCAGGCTTGGTGGCGGGCACCTGTAATCCCAGCTACTAGGGAGGCCGAGGCAGGAGAATCACTTGAACTCGGGAGGCAGAGGCTGCAATGAGCCAAGACTGCACCACTGCACTCCAGCCTGGGCAACAGTGCAAGGCTCTGTCTCAAAAAAAAAAAAAAAAAATCAAATGACCTACAATTCTCCATTATAATTCTTAAAAACTGGCAACAATAAATCAAGCATATTATAATGCCCATAATCTAATGCAAATGATGCAAAATATGTGTAATATAATTATGTATAATTCCATCCCTGGTATCCTTCTAAACAATGAAGTGACATCGTTTTTGTTACTCTGTTTATGGCATAAATATAGAATCCTTGAGTCGCACTATGCCTCATGGCCTTGTCAGGGATTACATTCATGTAACTGACCCACCAGGCACCTCTGATTTGCTGTTCTCACAAGAGCTCCAAGCAACTCTGTTTATCTACTTGGAAACTGAATAATTTTCTCCAACTTAAAGTGTCCTAAGCACAACTAATGATTCCCCTTCATTAAACTTTTTTCTTCCCGCTAACTCAGCTCCAACCCCAACCTTGGGGCCACCCTATTTGCGCCTTCCCCCGAAGCTGGCCTTACAGCAAGACTCACAAGCTCCCCCCTTCAAACACCAAAGCTGACCACCGCTTTTCCCAGGCCCTCAATACTGCATCCTCTTCCTGGTCACCACCCCCATCCCTGATCTCTGAAGATTTATGTCCGCATTGGTCGTCTCTCTTCCACTGTCAGCAACCACTGAGCCCCACTCCACGGTCCCTTCACACAGCAACCAGAGCAGTTTTTCAGAAACAATTATCTGATCATAGCCTTGCCCAGGGCAATTAGAACAACATACACATCCCTTACTATAGTCCACAGCAGGGCTTTTCTGAGTCTTCTGTGTGTTCAAATCACTCAGGGACCTTTCAAAAAAATCTGGGGCAGAACCCAGGCATTTTAGTTTTGTTAAAACTCCCCAGGTGATGTTAATATGAAGCCAGGTTTGCATCCACTCAGTTGTGAGACCTACAGGGCCTCAGCCCCAGGCTCTACCCCCCTTCCCCACTCCATCCTGTGCCGCTCACTCTGTCCCAGACCCTCTGCGCTCCACGGCTCTGCCTCCCAGCCTTTGAAAATGCCAGGCATGCTCCCCACTCAGGGCTTTCGTTCTTTCTGTGCCCTCTGCCTGGAAGGCTCCAGACCCCGGCCTTCATGCGGCTGCTCCTTCCCAACATCTAGGCTCCCTTCAAAAATCCCTTCCTCAGAGGCCCCTGGTACAGAGCTGCTCTTCTCCCTGGCCCCGCTCCTGTGGTTTTACCTTCCCTTTACTTCACTTCATTTTCAGTTTCACTTGTATAGCAGCTCCGTAAGAACAAGGACTCCTCTACCTCTCGGGACTTCTCCAGCTCCCAGAACAGTGCCTGGCCTTTAATACAACTAAAACCACCAGTAACCATGACAAAGCTTGCACCGTTTACTGTGATCTGACTCTCTGCCTGGTACCATTTGAAGTGACTTCCTTGTTTAACTCATGGGATTTTCATAGCACACCCATGAAGTAGATGCGACTATGACCTTCATTACACAGATGGAGAAGTAGAGACACGGGGAAAGTAATGCTCCCAAGGTCACGTGGTTGGAAAGGTGCAGAGTGGGAATTAGAAGCCACGCAATTTGCCTTTCAAGTCAGGGCACTCAGCCAGTCAAGTACTTCGAATGGATGAATGAATCACCAACAATTTTGTACTATGGTACCTTCACATCTCCTACCCACTGATCTTACTGCCATCTCTCTAAACTGCCTGGCTTCCAATCCCGGCTCTCTAATACCAGCTTGCTAGCTCACCTCCCTGAGCACAGCTGCTATTCCCTGTCCTCCCACTTCTAGGCCACTGTCTGCTGCCCAGAAGCCCTCCCTTGTCTTCATTTCTCCCCATATCTCCCTTAGAATACACAAGCCGCAATGGCACTTTTATGGCTACTGAGCTGCTGAGCACATCTGGGCTGCCTATCATACCTGGGCAGATCAGTCCGCACCCTGGAACATATTCCTTCCGAGTCAACTTCTATCCCACTGTCCCCAAGTATTTCATAGTTTCTCTTCCCTCTCCTTAAAAGCTGGGAAAAAATCCTCCCTGCTCTCCTCACATATTTTTCGAAGACCAAAGAGAAGTTACCCGAATGTGGGAGGTCGTGGCGTAAATCTTTAGACAGCATTATCTGTAGTATCATACATTGTACTGAGCAGTGCAGCTGGATGGAAGGATAGTAACTATTATAAAGTACCAGTATTCTTGCTGGTATTGTTGTTAGTATTAAAAATTATCTCTGTTTATACACACACACTCCAGCCTATGCAAAAGAGCGAGACTCCTTCTCAAAAACGAGAGAGAGAAATCATATTTTAATTACTTTTTAACAAAAATAACATCACATGACCTACGATTCTCCATTGCATGTCTTAAAAACTGGCAACAATAAGTCAAGCATATTATGTTATAATGCGCGTAATCAAATGCAAATGATGCAAAATATGTGTAATATATTTACGTATAATTATGTCATTACACACACACACACACACACACACACACACACACACACACACACACACACAGGAAAACCATCAGAATTATTGAATTATTTTGGTAAAATAGAGAGTCCTTGCAAAATAGGAGAGTGAAAATAGTAAGGTATCCTACAGCATAAGATGATCCAAGAAATCACGTAGTTTCTCAAGTAGCTGTTGTGTCATCTCATCTTACTGCTGCTATTGTAAACAGCACAGAGAACCAGAAAATCAATATGAAAAGTGCTAGGCAGCAGAGCAAAAACTGAGTGTTGTTAGTTGTGAACACTTTTGGGAAAATGAAATATAATAATAAATGGGTCTGCCATGACCTGCCAGGTCCTGTTCAATTTGCTCTCTCCCCATTTCTTCTCCAACCCCACCACACGTTCCCTCTCCCTGCACTTGAGCCACATGGTCTTCCTGCCCCTCAAATACACTAGGTGGACACCCACCTCGGGCCATTTCCCCCGCCTGGGACACTGTTTCCTCCAGACGTCTCCGTGCCCTACTCCCTCCGCGGCTGCAGGTCTGTCCTTCTCGGGCGCCCTTCCCTGACCTCCCCGTTTACAGCTGCAGTTTCCACGGCCCTCCACTCCTTTCCCCATTGCTCTTCCTCCAGAGCAGCTCATTTAGAATTGTTTTTGTCTGTTGGTTCTTTTTCACGACTATATTTTCCTCTCCCAGAAGAGGGCCTGAGTCAAAGTAGACTCCCAATAAACATTTAAGCAAATAAGCAAGCAGTATTAAGTTGGTGCAAAAGTAACTGCGGTTTTTGCAATTAAAAGTAACAGTAAAAACCACAATTACTTTTCCACCAAACGAACAGTAGTAAGAAGAGTGCTACCAACATAGGGGGTGACTGTGTATACCCCTGCGGTATAGTGCTGTGTGGGAACGCCATCATTACTGCAGAGGGCAAGGAGTAATGTAATATTCTAGAGTACGCCATCTTGCTACAATTGCACTAGGAGATTTCTGTATGCAATATCAATGTGATGGATACCAAACATATCCAAAGGTATTTTTTTCAAAGAACTTTTTATTAAAATGTACAGTTTACCACTAATTACTAAGAAATGGACTATAATGTGATATAGTTTAATAGAGCATTATATAACACAATTAGTTACTAAAGTT